ACAGGTGAATTTCCAACTTTTTGCCAGAGAAATTCCTGCCTTTCTCAGCCTCTCCCTCTCCCTCCTTTTTTCCCTTCTCTTCCTCTCTCTTCCTTTTTCCCAGTTATCTCTCTGTCACTTATAAAAAGTAAACCCTGCCCACCCCCAAAACAGGCTGTTTTGGGCATCTGCGGGTTCCTAATGGAGGGGTGCAGAGTTGGGACTTTCCTGGCTGGGTGGGGAGATGGTGGGAAGGGAGGGAAGGTGGGAGCGGGTGTGTGCTCTGAGCTTCCTGAAGTACACCTCGAGACAAATCTCCATTTTAGACAAATTCAAGTTATTAACATTGATTTGTGCTTTATTTTTGAATTGGTGCTGGCAGCCACATGCATGATAGTAAAATTTCAAGGTCACAAAGGCATATGTAGGGCTGACTGGTTAGAGCAGTTGGTTAGAGGGCGGTGTTACAACACCGAGGTCAAGGGTTCAGATCCCCACAACCTCCAGCTGCCAAAAAAAGAAACATGATAAAAATTTAGTGTCCCTCCCACCTCTGTTCCATGGACACCCCCCTTCCCTTCCTTTTTACTAATCTCGCTTCTCCTTGGAAACGTGGTCTATGCATATAGTCTATGCCTATGGAAGTGTTTGTCTGTTTGTGGAAGTGTTTGGCCTTTGTTTTTGTGCAGGCGGGAGCAGTTACAGACTGTTATCTCCGTGCGTGGTTCCTGTAGCCAGGTTTCTTATAGATCTTTGCACAGCAGCACCTCAGATCCATTGCTTAATCTTTTGAAGACTGTCAGGTACATGCAGGGGTATGAGGTTACCTGCATGTGTGACTTTGATAGATAGCTATTGTCAAGTTACCTCTAGAGAGGCAGGAACTTGCTGATCCACTGTGGAGTGTGAGCAGACGCTGGCTGCTCCTGGTCTCCTCTCTTGAGTCTGTTGATTCTGTTAGCCAACTTTAAGGAGCCCCTGCTAGGTAGCAGAAAATAGGCAACAGTGTATCTTTTAATCCTTTTAGCAGTCCTGGAGGTAGTGCTATTTCTGAGATGCATCAACAAGGCTCAGAGAGGTTAGGCGACTGGTCTGCGGTCACACAGCAGTGGCAGAGCTGGGTCTGGAAGCTAGGTCTGTCTGGCTGCAAGTTTAGGGCTCTTCCTGCTGGGTTGTGCTTGCATTGAGCATGGTCCAGGGCCAGGCTGGTGACTGAAGCGGTGTAGGTGGGAAGCTCCAGGGGAGGAGATGGGCCAGGGGTTCCCAGCTGAGTCCCTCAGCTGGTCCTCCCTGTCTGGTCTCCTGCTCTCAGATGGCCATTCTGCAAAATGAGACTCATTAGCGCTCTGCCTGCTCAGGTTCAACAGGACTGGATGAGATCTTGTGGGTCTGAGGGTCCCTACCAGGAGCCCCGAGTCCTGTAGCCTCGGCCCTGCTGTCTTGCTGGACACCTACTGAGGGCTGCACTGGACAGATTTCTACTTACTCGGGCTTTGACACGACCTGGGAGGGAGGTGGCTTTTCCCCATTTTCCAGATGAGCCAGTGGTCACCCAGCCAAGTGCAGAGCTGTTTTCCACATGCAGGCTGGCTGCCGGGAGGGAGCCTGTGCTCCTCTGTCCTCTCAGCCCCCCAGGCCAAGGGTGTGGCGCTCTCTTCTGCACACACTAGATTTGCATCTAACCTCTTTGGGTAAAATAGGGCCCTGGACTGGCTGGTTTTCCACTGGTGCGTGTGTAGGAGGGTAAGTGTGGGCTGCAGCCTGGGTGGAGGAGATACGTGGGTAGGTATGTCTTCCTTTCACCAAAGAAAGGTTTTCAACTACTCATTTGCAAATTTGCTGGGAATATACATGTTAAAAACCAGTCCAGTTTCCTGGATCTGAAGCTGCAGTAACCTCGCCGTGGGTCCTCTGGGAATACTCTGCCTTCTTTCCTTTATTCAACAAACATTAGACTGCTCTATGCCAGGCGCTACACGTGCAAAGGCTGGGAGACATGGCATGACCAGGCACAGGCACAGCTCGTGAAGCACATGTTCTTGCTCTGTGGTCAGAGCAGGGTCCAAGATGGGTGTGGCAGTGCCAGAAGAGGGAGGACCCCTTAGCAGGGTGGCACCACTCTCAAGAGACTGGGAGCCGAACAGCAGCGACAAGGTCAGGTCTGAGGCTGCTTGGTGGAGGTCAGATTGGAGAGAGCCCAGCTGACCCAGCAAGGCAGCTGGAGTGGGTGTCAGACAGGAGGGGACAGGGCTGGGCCTCATCAGTGCGGGGCTCAGCGGGGTGGCCAGGAGAGACCAGAGCAGGAGGACGCTATTGCAGGGCCTCTGCTGGGCAGGGGACCCCCCTCAGCTCCCTGGGCACACCCCGAGTTCCCACTCAGATCTAGAGCCCCAGGGCCAGCCCAGGCCTGGCTGGTGATTGAGCCTTCTCCATTCCTGTCAAGTCTGAACCAGGCAAAATGGCTAAAGGCTCAGATTGGGTCACTTCTTTGACGCATTAAAAGGGTTATGTGAGCAGTTAATGAACCAATCCACACACAGGGCTTACTCCCTGCCTGACAGTAGTAGATGCTCAAAAGCATCAACCAGAAATTTAATCAGAGGCAGTTAGTGCTGGTTCTTATCTGGAAAAGGAGCCCCATTAGGTGGGGGCCGTTATCCCCATTTAACGACAGACAGGGAAACTGAGGTCCAGGGATAGGGAGGGTTAGGATGTTAACACAAGGTGAGGGGGGCTGACTGGAGGTGGATGGGGCAACCCGACTGAAGGCGTCTGCAGGGGCTGAAAGGGCCTCGAAGGAAGGCGGAGAGTGGGCGACTGACTCCTCGTGCAGGCCCCATGGACTCTGCAGACCCCTGACAGCAGCCCACCCTGGTGGCTGGGGCCCTCTTCCGTCAGGTGCCCAAGGATTCTGAGAATGCTTGCTGGGTGAGGGGGATGTTAGGGCGGTGGGTCAAGGTGAGGCTCAGTCCAGCGTAGGGGCTGAAGTCCCACTGTGGCCTGGGCTAGGGAATGGAGGGGAAGGGGGGTGGATGCAAATGAGGACTGGGGCTGCTTTCCCAGGGAAATGGTCATTTGCATAGAAACTGACCCCACCCCACCCCAGGCCTGGAGCCTGAGGGCAGCCAGAGGCTCTGGACACAATTCTTAAATGCCACCTTGACACACGCACACGCTTACAATCTGTACAACATACACATCAGATCCATGAGTGTTTGTCTCTCCATTCATCTGAGTCTTTTATGTCCTTTAATGGAGTTTTAAAATCTTCTGTATAAAGATTTTCTGCTTCCTTTATTAGGTTAATTATCTGTCATTATTGTAAAGATGTATTTATTTTCTGCCATGTTCATTTCCTGGTTGGCATGTAGGGATGCTGTTTTTTGTGTATTGATCTTGTACCTGGCAACCATGAAACTTCACTGGCCATTCCAATTGGAGTCTGATTCTCTTTGGTTTTCTACTTGTATGTTTGTTGGGTGTTCCTCCCCAAGCTGAAGTTCACTGGCCTTGGAAGGCGGCCAAAGGCCCCAGTGTGGAATTGCTTTGGATGCCCCCTGCCTTTTGTGCGAGTGCCAGCACCCCACGCTCTCCTTTCTGTGTCTTTTAAACAAAAGGATAGTGCAGCAAAACAGACAAAGAAGTCAGACTTCGCTGTTGGAAGATGGTATTGCCCAAACGGACCTCTTGGCTGCTGGTCAGTGCTCTGGGGCGGCTCCTGTGATGTCCAAGTTTGGCCTGGGAGAAGAAGAGGTTCAAAACCTCAGCACATCCCGTGCAAAAGTGCATTGCCCAAATTAAAAGGCAGATGAAAGTCATCTCTGGCTGGTCTACAAAAGTGTCTTCACACCATACTAGTTTGTCATCAGTGCTTTCTAAAGCATTGTTAAACATCTTTGCACTGCAGAGCGATTTAGATTTACATTCGTTTTCAAGTGTTACCAAGCACTGCCTGGGACAAATGTGTTGAGAGTTTTGCACCCAGGATGGAGCCTGTGTTGAGTATTTACAATCTTACAAGTGCCATCTAGACCCTCCTGTACAAATGTCAGTGTCCTGGCCTGATGGTTTAGGGGAGCTGCTGGGGCTTTTACCATTTTGCCTGCAGGTGCCCTCAGCAGGTGGCGGCCTCCCCCCCCCCCCCCCCCCCCCCCCCCCCCCCCC